GACCTCGGAGCACTCGCCCCACGTCCTTGAACCACCCCACTTCCCACCCCACCCTCAGTGGGATCACTCCAAGTGACAAAACAGCCCAGTGACGCAACCTGCTCTGCAATGAGGTCCAGATGGCCCAACCGGTGTCGCAGGCAGGTGCTGGGACAGGATGGGGACTAGAGCCGTCCTGGCAGAGAAGCCCTTATCTGAGGGCTGGGTTCGTTACCCCAGCCTCAGGCAGGCAGAGGGTGGGAGGCCTCAGTGTCATCCACGAGAAATCTTTGTGACCCCAGAAGCCGGGACCTGCTGCCCGGGGCCCTCTTGAGCATCCACGAAGCCTCTCCCATAGGCACAAAGCAGGGAGGACAGGGCCTTGAGGAACAGCCTCTTCCCGTGAGGACCATGTGACTGTGGACGTCATCTGGTGCTCCTGGAGGGGACAAGAAGGAGAGCAGAGCGAGGTAGGTGGAGTTGCTCCCCAAGGGTTTTCTGGAGGACACAGATTTGAGCGGGTGGATTCCTTCTGTTTAGCTAATTAGCGCCCGTGTGCCAAGGTCCTTTGCGCCAGGCTAGAAGAACAGGCCCTCTGGAAGAAGCCGGGACCAGACAAAAGGGAACAGATTATGCAAAGCAGCTCCATTTAGACGTGCTAATGGCAGAATCCAATTTCAAGCCCACGACAAGCACTCACACCCGGCAGGAGCCAACATTAACACCACACCAACATCTCTCTGCCTGGCTCAGGGCTCGGCTCTCCGGTAGGGCTTTTGCAGCATGCTGACGTCTCAATGCTGTTTTCTTTCCGCGCCTAATGGTACCAATAACATTGCCAGTTCTGACTCTATGGCAGGGCCTTGTGCTAAATATTGAGTGCATGATCTCATCGAATTATCAGAAGTTCTGGGAGGTTAGCACTATAATTACCTACATTCTGTGGGTGGGGGAGCCGTGGCAAGTAATAGAGGTCGCAGGGCTAGTGCGTGTGTGTGGCAAGGCCAGTGCGAGGGCCCCGGAATTCCAAGGCCTCTGCTCGCCCCTTGCTCCCCTGTGCGGTTCCTCAAAGAGCTTCAGTGTTTGCTGTGAAGTAGATCCTTGACCTGAGAGTCCAGGGCACATTCCCTGGCCCCCTTGGCCAGATGTGCTCAGCAAATGAAAAGAAGGAACTAGCTGGGCACATCGAAGTCTGTCATCCCAGATACTCCAGGAGCGGAAGCAGGAGGAAGCTCAAAGCCTAACTGGGTTATTATATGAGTTAGAAGAAGAAGAAGGAGAAGGAGGAGGAGGAGGAGGAGGAGGAGGAGGAGGAGAAAGAAATAAGTAGAAGAATGAAGAAAGAAGGAAGAAAGAGGAAGAAGAGGAGGAAGAGGAAGAGGAGGAGGAGGAGGAAGCCACTGCCTAGCTTTTAATCCTAGTACTCGGGGAGGCTGAGGCAGGTGGATCTCTGTGAGTTCGAGGCCAGCTTGGTCCACAAAGCAAGTCCAGGAGAGCCAAGGCTACACAGAGAAACCCTGTCTTGAAAAACCAAAAAAAAGAAGAAGAAAAAGTAAAAGATGGCTCGGGATGTAGCTCAATGGAGAGTACAAGCGTGGAGTCCACCGTGAGGGAGCCTGAGCATGGCTTAGAGGCAGAATGTGCGCAGTGCCCCCAGTTCAATCCCCGGTACTGGGCAGTAGCTCAGGGGTGGGGGTGGGGGTGGGGGAGGGGGAATGGTACCGGCATTTGCCAACTGCAAGGAGCCTGCAATTAATTGCCCCCATTTCCAGATGTCCCACATAGGAAAACCATCTTCCCACATCAAGTTATGTCTTTGCAGATAATGTCCTAGCTGGGTGTGGTGGCCACAGGGACGTGGAAATAGAGAGACCAGCCTTGGCTACATAGCAAGATCCTATCTCAGAAAACAAACAAGAACTTTAACCAAAGATAGTTCTCTAGTCTGGACTCCGCATCTGTAGCTGTAGTGCCTAAAGGCGTAACAGCTCTAAACACAAGCCAGTCTGTTCACGTGCTCTCCTGAAGGAATTCTGTTTGCTTGCAGAGTTAAAAGCTGCCGTACTGGCCTGGTGACATGTTCTCATTGGTCACCTTCCAGATGGTCTGCACTCTGTTTGTTTTATGGTGCCTGACGTTGGACATGCTCAGCAAAGCTTTACTGCTGGGCCACGTCCATCCACAGCTCTCTTTTACTGTTTTTTGTTTGTTTTTTCACATTGTGTGTGGGGGGGTCAGAAGACAGCTTTCAGGAGTCAGTTTTAGCTTTCTACCAGCCAAGCCATCTTGTCAGCTGGGGAGATGCAGGCCCCCAGAACTCACGTAAGAGGCTGCGTAGTGGCGTGGATTCCTGGGCTCACTAGCCAGCTGCCTTGCCTCTTGGTAAGCCAGTGAGAGACCCTGTCTCAAAACAAAGTGGAGGAATGCCACTCGAGGTTGCCATCTGGACACACACACACACACACACACACACACACACACACGCCATTCCCAGGCTGGGCTTGAACTTTCTTTCCTCCTGCCTCAGCCCCCAAGCGGCCGGAAAGATAGGTTCAGCTCCCTGATTAATTTTCAAGAGTGCAATGGTTTTTCTGTTAAGCACTGACTGGTCTTAGGGTCCCTCTCCGTGCTCCTCACCTTCCTCCATCCACACTGCCCTGGTGACTTTGTGTTCAGTTTAAGAGGGAGACGGGTAGGCAGTTGTCAATAAGGGGAGGTCAGAGCAGTTGAGTAGTGGAGGGGGAGGGTCAGGGAAAGCCTCCTGGGATTCCGCTCCACTTTGAGTGACTACATGGAGTGATGGGGTCCCCTGACTCTGTAGCCCCATGTCTAGGCAGGCCTAGCTGTCATGGGGAGGAGGGAGACAGAGAGAGAGAGAGAGAGAGAGAGAATTAAGAGGGGGCTTTTACCCTGGCCCCTGGCAGAGATGACAGGCGCAGACCTCACAGGTTGCTAAGCAACCTCAGGGCTGCCTATGCTAATTCTAGTTATCCCCATTCCTTCCCCAGCACACCAGTAAACCTCTGTGGTTTTGTTTTTTTTTTTTCACCACCTGCCCCCACCCCACCCCAAATGTGACAGAACTTGAATGTGGGTAGGAGGTGAGGCCCAGCCCTGATTGCTACATCGTGGCAGAAGCCAGCTTCGCGGCTATTGGGGTTGAGTGATTAAAGGAATGGACACCAGATACTGGTGGGGGTACTCTGGGGACGGATGAGGGATCGCTGCAGAGAGAAGGGAGCCTGAGGTCTCAGGAGAGGGTTCGGACAATCAGTCAGAACTCAGGGAAGAACGCTCCCCCTCCCCCAATGCCAGTGAGCAGTATTACCACACTCGGAGGCCCTCCTCCCACTCTGGAGGTTGTTTGCCTAAAGCTTCTCCCAGGAAGACTTCCTGATCCGTCCCCCCTCCAACACTGAACTTCCAAGCCCTCCTCCCATTGGGTAATCTATAAATATTTCTTGTTGGTGTTGGGAAGACAAGGCGGCCGCTCCTGTGGAGGGGGGCGGAGAGCCACCAAAATAAATAAATAAGTAAATAAACAAGCGCAGGAGATGGTACCAGGTGCTGGGAAGGAAAGGATGAGCTAGGGAGGGGCCTGTGAACTGAGACCTGGGGCGGGGAGAGATTGAGCTGGTGCCTGAGGCAGGAGGATTAGTGCAAAGCCTGTGCTACAGAGCAGGCATGGGCAACTCGGCGCGGAGAAAGGTCGGGATGGGAGAGAAGAGCTATCAACACCCCATCACCTGAGTGCCTTCCCGCCAGACCCTTGACCTTGAGGGAATAGGCTACCCAGCCTAGGGCTAATGGAAAGCTTGAACGTTGGGACTTCCGAGGCTCCAGGGAAAACTCGGGGTTAGCCAGGAGTAAGGCACCGCTGCCCGCTGTTGGAGGGCCCCACAAACCCAGACATCCCGTAAGGGTCTGGAGCCGTCTTGATCCGAGTTCCTCGGTACACGTTCACACAGCAGGAAGCATCGTCACCAGGGGGACCAGGGCTTCTCCCCGGGACAGCCTTCTCGCCTGCCCCCATGTGGCTGTGGCGGGGTACTGCAAGGTCCTCCGTACTGTCGAGTAGATGAGCAATCCGGAGCCTCAAACGTAAGAACCAAATGAAGTGGGAGGAGTAGACCATAATCTACTCTCGGAAGACGTAGGCTTGATCAGGTGCCTTTCCCGAGTCGGCTTGGGGCCAGGTTTCTCTCACTGATTCACAGCTTACTTGAGGCCTGTGCCCCACGCCAAGGATGGCTGCCAAGCGCTTAGCCAACTTGCAAACGGCACCGGCACTCACTCGATTGTCAGGGTTTTCCTGCCTTGCCTTTACTTCCTGCCCCCCTCCAGCGGGGATTTCGGGGGCGGGAGGACAGTGACAAGGGGCCCCACACTGGGGCACCCTGTACCAGTTCCATAAAACAGGAACTTTCTGGCCCTGTCCCAGGGGCTCCTCAGCCTGCGTCACAGCAGGGGTTACACGGCAAGGTCATTCATGGCTTTGGCTCCCCCTCCACTTCGCAGCTTCCTAAACACTGCCACCCTCTGCTGGTCCCCAGCCCACCAGGAGTGTACAGCATGTCCAGGTGTATTCTCCTGGCCGCTCTGTCCCGCCCGGTCCCTGTGCGTCCCCACTGCAAAACTGATCTGTCGTTTTGAACAGCCTCCGGACTCCCAACTGCCTGTTTTTGATGCCCTGAAAGCACAACAGAGCAACTGCTGAAAACAGGCAGTTTTCTTTTTTTTTGAATTAATTTTTCTTTTCATCTTTTATATCAATTACAGGTTATTTACTTTGCATCCCAGAGGCGGTTTTGCAGAGGGAGAACCTTGCACGAAGCCATCAGCTAGCTCTCATCCCGTGTCACCCAAACCCAACTGAGCCCAGGTCTCATCTCTCTCCAGCCGACCACATCTCATCCCACGCTCAGGTGAAAGGTTCTCAGCCAGAACCCATCTTTCCACTCCCCTGCACCAGGGTCAGCAGAGCCGTATTAAAGAATAACAAATCGTGAGAGTCTTGGGGAAACAAAGAGCCTTGTTTTATTTATTCGAAAGTAGGAAGCCCCTGCAGCATTGTTACGGGGACTTCCGGTCACAAAGGGAAGAAGGTGAAGAAACTGGCCGGTTATCCTAGGACGCTGATTCGTCTCCGGGACACCACAGCGGAGTGGGGAGGATGAGGACAGATAAACCAGGTCCCCGGGTGAGCTGATGCGAGATGACAACGCCCACATAGGTCTGCCGCAGCAGAGAGGACTGTGGGTAAGTACAGCCAAGCTCCCTGAAGCCCTGCGTTCTTGGAGAGTCGGCAGTGACTAGAACGAATCTTCTAGAAGAAGGGTGGGGAAAAGCAGGAGAAAAATGAATGACAGAAGACAGCCACTCCTACATCAACTGAAAACGAACCCTTTCATAAAGATTCCTGGCGCCAGTGGCTCCTTAGCTGGGTCCCTTCCTCAGCCACCTTCGCTTCTCTCACTTTTACGCCTACATAAAACGCATTTTGTGGCCTCAGTAACCACTTTCCAGGCCAGGCATGATGGTATGCACCTGGGAGGCTGAGGCGGGCTCATTAGGCCACCTGAGCTACACAAAAAAAGACCCTGCCTTAACAATACCAACCAAAATGTGGACAAAAAAAGCAGAGCTGCCTTCCAGGGCCTTACTTCACCTGAACCGCTGCCTCCCGGAAGGCTCGCCTAACCGCAAGTACTGCAGGCCAGCCTTCCCATTGGTTCTGTTCCTTCATAGTTCTCTCTCTTCAACCCTCCAGCCAGCATTCCCTTGCTCATAGACAGCCCCACGTGTCCTGGGCCGTTTTCTCAGGAGTCTTTTCTCCACACCCCACAAAGAGGATGCTGCTCCTCATCCCACCTCAGGATCCACCCCGAGGAAACCAGACTTCTCGGCCACTCGCTGAGGTCCAAGGACATGCCCAGCTCCCAGCCTGCCCAAGAGGTGGCTACTTCTGCTCCTGGCATTCAGCCCTGTGTGGCCCACTTCAACACTTACCTACCAAAACTTCATCCACTTCAGCAGGCCGGGTTGTGCCCGGGAAGCCTGCAAGGCAAGGGGAATGGCTGAGCGGACATCGGGACGTCGAGAGTTTGCCACCTCCCCCAGCAGCCTTGGTCCCTGCAGGCTGCACCCTCTCAATCCCCTATACTCACCGAGGACGAGGAAGGTACGACTCCTCCCTGGAAAGAGAAGATCAAGAGAGGTGACTCTTATGGCAGACTTTTCTAGGCTCTACCTTGGCCTCAGGCTCCCCAAGGGCCCCCATGGTAAGCCATCATTATCAGCAAGGACCATCAGTCCGTGATTTCCCCTCCAGAGCACACATTTTACCCAGCAAGATATTGAATATGGTCCCCCAAACACAACACAAGGGAGGAGCGGGAGAAGAGAAGAGCTGTCCTGCCCGTGGGCTGGATGGAGGTCAGCTGTACGTAGCGGCCAGGTAAAGCCTATGGCGGCATCTCCTTGATCGGTGTCTCCTCCTCATCCATACTTCCTCATTTCATTCATTCCTTTCGCCTTTGCTTTTGTGGCGTGGAGCAGCGGAGCACAGAGCCTCACACATGCTAAGCACCTCACGCCACTCAGCCACGCCCTCAGTCTTCATATGTTAAGACAGTAAGTTGCCCAAGCTAGAGGTGAATTGTAGCCCAGGCAGTCCCTGAACTTATGGTCCTCCTGCCTCAGCCACCATCCCAATTCCACCACAAGTGGCTAAGAAGCCAGGCTTTTGGCCGCCTGCCTGTGCTTTCTCTTATCTTCGAAGAGCGTTCTTTCGCCAGGGCGTCGCTGTTCCGAGGATCGGGAGGGAGTCCCTGGCCTGGCTTTTCTTTGTCAGCCTGATTGCCATATGACATATTCACTCTGGTATTAAATCACCTTGCTTACTTATTTGCCGGCTGGCTGGTTTTAAACCTATTCTGTATATCTCTGTATTTGGGCCACGGCGCACACGTGGAGGTCAGAGGACAGCGTGGAGTAGACAGGAGTGGTCAGCTCTCCCCTTCCACCATGCGTGTGCAGGGGATCCGTCTCAGGCAGCGAGGCCTAGCAGCAGTGGCCTTTACCTGCAGAGCCATCTCACGGACCCCTAAGACGGCCTTGTCTGCAACTACGCAAAACAGACCTCCCAATCCCCCCCCCCCTTTTTAATTTCCTCTGAAGCGTGAAGCGTTCAGTTTCCCACCAACCAAGCGTCTCTGTGCTTAGCTTCTGGGCTGGGCTGGGCTGCTATCCTCCACCCCAGCTGCGGCCCCACAAGGGGCAAGAGCGAGCATCCCCAGGCGAGCCTGCGTGGTTGGTGAACAGGTGTAAACTGGTCACCTCCACGCGTCTGTTGAGCAGGCTTCTCTCCCGAACCTGCCCTGGACCTGCTCCGGGTGGGGAGGTGGTGGTGGGGTCGCCCACTGTGGTCCCCGTTACAAAGCAGTATGGTGGAGGAAGGACACAAGCCTCTCCCCGCGCCAAGCAGAGCCCAGAGAGAACAAAGCCTTTCAGAACTCACCTTGGGGGTGGTCTTGGCATAGTATTGCCAGTTGTAAGTAGGATTCTCCTGTGGGCTGTTGTGGTAGTTCTGTGGGAACAGAAGGCCATGGGGGTGCAGAGGAGAAGGGAAGATGGCGTTTTATTGTGTAATAGCCACTTCTTTGCCCGGACAGCCAGTTTCTTAGAAGCCGTGCTGTGTCCCCTCCTTGTAACACGGGCTCTCTTTCTTGTTACCCCAACTGGAGCCCACCCCATCTGGTCCTTCCTCAAATGTGACACGGGAGGGGAGGACGGGGAGACCGAGAAGAAAGGTGGCATTTAAGTCAGGCGGTCAGGGGAGGAGATCTTACCTTGGCTGTGACGGCGGACACCTCTTGTCTTGCTGCCTCAGGCTGTGAAAACTATCAGATGGGAGGGAAAGGAGAGGATGTCGGATTAGCCAGCCTGGAGAAGGGGGCAGGGAGAGAGAGACCCAGTCCCCTCCAGGGAGCCTAGGGACAAGAAACTCACCTGATCGGAGGCGCCCCCTGCCCTCTTCTGCAGCGACGCCACATCCGAGCCCTAAAAGGAGCCGGAAGCCCCTGTCAGTGTCCTCCAGGCCTTGCCAAGCCTCCCGAAGCCCAGACATTGCACTTTGAGCTCTACCTCCTCTTTGGGCTCTGCCTATTCTACCCTACCCCCTAATGGTCCCAGGTAAGCCCGGTAGGGCTGGAGGGTGCCGATGGCCCAGATAGATCTAGGACACGGATTTCCACACTCAGGATTGGAGAGCAACAGTGGAGGACCCAGTGGGGCAAGAGTACCACCTCCACACACGCTGCAGGGTTGGCAGCTCCGAGTGGACACAGTACTAGAATGACAAAGGAGACGAATCCACACGGGTCCCTCCGCCCCGGCCAGCCGTGTGCCTGTGCCAGCCCCTGATGGCCTCCCTGTAGGCCTCTCAGTCAGTCCTACTGTACTGAGACTGTTCTCCATGACGTGCTTTGGAGCTTAGTGATTAGGTTCTCATGGAAGGGAAGACAGGCGAGGAAACATTTAAAGCATCTGCAGCGCATACCTCACAGGTCCTATCCATCTGACAGAGGAGACAGGGATCAAACCCACCCTAGGCAGGGGCCCTACCACTGAGCCACACCCCCAGCCCCTCACTGGGGGATTCTAGGCAGGGGCTCTACCACTGAGCCACATCTCCAGTCTCCTGACCCTGAGTCTTAGCCCCACCACTGGCTCTGACACTGAGGTCACAAACTGGCCACTCACAGACCTTTAAATACTTTTCTTTTGGTTGTCCTTTTTTTTTTTTTAATAGTTGCAAATGATTTAAAATCAGATTTCTAATTTTTCTTGAAAAAAAAAAAAAAACCTGTAGTAACCCTGGTTCTACATGTGTGCTAGAGGAACTCAGACAGCTTGCCTCAGTTCTTGCTCCCGAAGGCCACTAGCCACGCAACACTGAGGGTTGGCTTTCTGAGTGACCCAGTGGACCTGATCATCCTCCTCCCCGAGACCCAGCTACCTAGCCCTCTGCACCTGCCCGAACTTACCTTTCTCCTTCTGATTCCTCTCGGCTTTCCTCCCCGGACCCCTTTGTCATCACTTGTCGTCCCCATTTTGTGCCCCCCCCCCCACTCCACCCACTTTCCCTCGGTACCCACCCAGCTGTGGCTGTCTCCGCGCCAGGCCACGCCCAGAAGGATAAGCAGCAGACCACAGACTGTGGCTGCCTTCATGGTTCTTGCTCTGGCACAGTGAGCGCCCGAGCCTCCTGCCCTGGGATTTTATCCTAGGAAGGCCCTCCCACCCTACTCTCTCAGTGACTCATAGCTTCCCTCTCTCACTCCCACTCCACCCTGCTCAGGGTTGCATAAACCAGGGAGAGTGGGAAGGGAAGGCGTCCTCCCTCACCAGGGGCAGGAAGAAGGTCGGCAAGCCATCCCTCAAGGGCTGCCAACCCCAAAATGACAGGTTCTGCCCAACCCCTTACCTCGATCTGTTTCCAGTTGAAGAAAGGGGTGCTGCGTTTGAAATTCTGGAAGGAGAAGGTGCCAGGACTCAGAGGGTAGGAAATGACAGCACACCGGGCAAGGTGCCAGGGGCCTTTAGGAAGGGCCAGGTGTGGCTTGGGGTTGGGTGAAGGTGAGCATATGGGAAACTGAGGGCGCTTGAGTTTGAGATAGTGCCGGGGATAAAATATAAGGACAAGTCCTATCTCAAAGATGGAGCGCGTCGTCAGCCCTGGCGGCACACGTCCAGAATCTGCATTCAGAGGGCCAAGGCAAGAGGACACAAGCTAGCCTGCGCTACACGGTGAACTGAAGGCCAGCCAGGGCTAGCCAGCAGTTTTAAAGCCCGGCTAGGCCCACATAGCGAGATCCTGTCTCAGAAACGTAAGATAACAACTGAAAAGAGGGGCAAGAGGGAGACTCAGGACGTGATGGCCAGAACCCCTGGGTCTCTGAAAAGGCGAGAGCTTTCTCACCTCCCAAAGTCTTCGGAAGTAAAGTAAGGCTCGAGTGCTGGGAGGCTGGAGGCGGCCCTGTGAACAAAAGATGGGGGACAGGTTAGCAGGGAGCCCGCCACTGCTGTCTGCCTGCAGCCTTCAGAGATGCCCTGTAACTCGTGCGTGAAAGGGATGACGGGAATCCTCATGGACACTGGAACCTGGAAACGAGAGCCGGGCTAGATGTCTGCGCCCTGTGGCTGCCACGCCCAGTTCCCCGTTCTCCCAGTGCCTCTCCTTGGCACAAGTGTCGCAAACCCCTCAGGACTCAGGGCTACCACAGTCCCCAGCACACACCCCCGCCTCCCTCCTCCCAGGACAGCAGTGGAGGCAAAGGCCCAGAAACCACAGTGTCAGGTAGCTGTGGTTTATTTCCGGGGGAGGGGGTGTGAGCTAGGGGTGAGGGGAGGGTGGTGCACAGCTCCTCATCTGGAGGTCAGGGTTTGTCAGAGCACCCCTTGTCCTGAGCAGAGAAGTAGGTTCTAAGAGGAAGCTAGAGGAGTGGGACTCTGGAGAGCAGTGGGCAGGGGTGGGCTGGCAGTTAACCCCGCTCTCAAAATCTGCATGGATCTTTTGGGAGACACTGTCATCTCTCCACACAAACCGTATGTCCCAGCCCAGGCTAGAACCTTTCCCCTCACTCCCCCCACTGGCTGAAGGGCTCAGCTCCCTCATCCCCCTTCTGCTTGGAAAGACTGGAGCTGAGTGCCCTCTCCTGCCCAGCTCCACCTACTCCTTTCTCCCAGACTGACCTGCTGGAAGGCCAGTTGCTGTGAATCCCACCTAGCTAGCATTCCCAGATGAGCAAAGATGCTTGGCCGTGTGTGTGGGCCCTTGGTGCAGTTCCAGTCTCTGTCCTGGCCTCATAGAATCCTTAGTCCCCCAAGGACTACAGCAAGGAGGCTCACCCCACCAGAAGCTGGTTTCTTGAAAAACAGCGCTCATCCAAGCATGGTGGTGCATGCCTGGAATCCGAGCATTCAGGAGCCTGAGGCAGGGGACTCTAAGGCTTGAGGTAAACCTGGGCTTCCTAGTGAATTCAAGACTAACCTGAGCTACATCGGGAGGCTCCATCTCAAAGTTAAATAATAAAGTACATAAGGAAAACAAAATGTATTTTGTTCATTTAAACCAGAAACAAATTGCTGCTCGGAAACCACCATCTCCAATGCCTTGCCTCGTCCCTCAGAGGTCAAAGAGACCTTCCTGATGTTTGGGCAATTCTGTCCCCCTCTCATCACCACCTGCTTTCCCATAAAGACCCCAAATCTTTGGAATGTCTTAGGATGAGGATTAAAATTTTAGCAGCTCAAAGAGGCTAGTCCAGTGGCAGGAATGCTTGATGGACAGAGTCAGAGGAACTGTGGGGGAATGAGGAACCACAGCACAAAGTGAAAAGGGGGTCCAGGGTGCCAGATCGTTCAAGGCAAGCCAGGCACCTAAATTATTAAGTGCCAATTTTTAAATTTTGGCAAGTAACTCATGCTCTTTTTTGAAATGTGTCTTGGTGACTCTCAAGAAGGCCAGCCCCATCTCTTGGGTGTCTGCTGTCTTTTCTTTAAAAACAACAACAACAAACAAACAAAAAAAAAAACCAAAACATGTTTCTTGAGCCTGGTGCCTCAGGCCTCTCCTCCCAGCTACTCAGGAGGATACTGAGTTCAAGGACTACCTTGACAACTTAGTGAATCCCTGTCTCAAAGTAAAAAGTAAAAGAATGCTAGGGGGATAGCTCAGTGGTAGAGCCCCTGCCTAGAATCCCCCAGTGAGGGGCTGGGGTATGGCTCAGTGGTGGAGCCCCTGCCTAGACTCCTCCAGTGAGGGGCTGGGGTGTGGCTCAGGGGTACAGCACTTTGTTTGGCTCTCTTGTGGCTCTAGGTTCAAGCCCAAGCACTGAAAAAAATAATTTTTTAAACTACAAATAGGGCTGGGAAGACATCTCAGTGTTTAAGAGTAGTTGTTGATATTGAAGAGGACAGAGTTCAGATTCCAGCACCCACATCAGGCAGCTCAAAACTGCCTGTACCGCCAATACCAAGGGATCTAATGGCCTCTTCTGGCCTCCACGGGTACCACCTCCCAACACACAAGAGACTGATAACACACACACACACACACACACACACACACACACACACTTCTTTTTAAAGTAAAAATAAACTCCAACTTTGCTTTTTAAAAGAATGTCACTAAGCTGGGCTCGGTGGTGCATGCCTTTCCCGGAACTCACGGAGGCAGAGACAGGCAGATCTCTGTGAATTTGAGGCCAGCCAGTCTACAAAACAAGTCCAGGACAGCCAAGGCTACAGAGGAAAACCTTGCCTCAAAAACGAACAAACAAAAATGGCCCAAACAGGCACATCTGTCACCCACAGTCATGGTTTCTTCCTGAGGACCTTGGATATTTTTTTTCTTTGCCCTGCATCTTCTCATTTCTTACCAAACTATCATGATGTCGAACCGTTCTGACCAGGGGCATTTACTGTGAAAGGGAAGGGTGGAGCAGGGAGAAAGAGAAAGGGTTTCACTGCCCTAGCTGTGAAGACTGCACGTGAGCAGGGTCTCTCCCAAGACCTGTCCCCCGTCTGGTACTAAGCAGCTCCCCCTGCCTGTTTTCCTTGTCTCTCTGAGTTTGTCAGTCTTCTGAGTTTGTAGGTCCATGTAACTCCTCATTCAGTGAATTCCCAAGGACCGTTCAGTCTGCCTGATCCCTTTTGTGTAGAGCTGGGGATTGAACCCAGAGTTTCATTAGTGCTAGGTGAGCAGCTCTACCACTGAGCCACACCTCAGCCCCTCACTGGGGGATTCTAGGCAGTAGCTCTACCATTGATCCAAACCCCCAGCCCCTCACTGGGGGATTCTAGGCAAAGGCTCTACCACTGAGCCACATCCCCAGCCCCTCATTGGGGGATTCTAGGCAGAGGCTCTACCACTGATTTCAACTCAAGCATTCACTGATAGGTTTTAATTTTGAGATATCATTTCCTTAATTTGCCCAAGCAGGCTAAAACTCATTCTGTAGTTCAGGGTGGTTTTGAATTTGCTAATCTTACTGCCTTTTCTTCCGAAATTGCCAGAATGACAAGCCAGCATCCTGGCAGGTCTAAAGGAGAGACTGGACCGAGGTTGAGGGTTCACCTGGGATATTAAAGACATCCATCCCCTCTGCTCCATCTAATATTTTCTGAATTTACCCTCTCTTTCCAGGTCTCCATCGGCTTCCCACTCATGGACTCATTTTGTTTGAGCATTTGCCTAAACACCTTTTTAGTAGCTCTCATTACTGTACCCCTGCCTCATCATGAAGCTGTCTAGCTGTCCTCTCTCGGTCCTCTGCTCTCAGATCAGAGGACCTTCTGGCATTGCCTTCTGGCCCTTACCTTGTTGATGGCATCCCAGTTAATGAAACGCAACTTGGCTTTTAAATTCTGCAGAGGAGACAAAAAACAATGTCCAAACCCGATCATGAAAAAAATGTTTGCTTTTGTTTTGTTTTAGGACAGAAGGGGTCAAGAGCTGGCCTGGAGAGATGGCTAAGTGGTTAAGAGCACCAGATGCTGTTCTAGAAGACCTGAGTTCTACCCCAAGCACCCACGTGATGGTTCACAACATCTCTAACTCCAGTTCCAAGAGCTCTGACGCCCCCTTCTGGCCTCTGCTGGCACCAGGGACACGCACTCAACTACATAAACTAAAACTTTACAAAACTTCCAAGACGAGGCTGTGGCTTTCCCTGGAGATGTTGGGGCTGAGGAAGTGTGATGGCCTCTCCAAAGGTGAGTCAAACAAGTTCACAGAACTCACCTCCCAGAAACCGTCCAAGTCGAAGGGCAGGGATGGTGCATCGTAGTTCTAAGGAATGGATGAGAAATGACAGGAGGTTAGGAGTGTCTACTTTGTGAGCAAGAGGGAGATGTTGGCATCGGGCAGGAAAGGGAGAAAGTACACCTGAGACCCTAGTCCAGCCCAAGGTAGAGGGCGTCCCCGACTCACCACACTCTTGAGTTCACTGACAGCTTCGTTTTGACCGCTGTCTCCGCTAGACCCATGCTCCTGGGTAGGGGAAGGGAAGATTTATGTTCAAGGCTCCCGTTCACCACCGCACCCTCGCCTGTCTTCTACCCCAGGCCCACCCATGTCCACCTCTGCTCTCTCCTCTCTGTGACCTTTGCTCTTCTCTCTCCCACGTCTGCATGTGACTTAACCCCATAGCTGACCTAATCTCTCGAGACACACGCTCTCCAAGAAAGCCCAGGCTTTCTTCAAGCTTGCCGCAGTCCTCCTGTGTCCCTGAGGACAGATCTGCTTCATGCCTGCCTGCCACATTCACGCTCTTGCCCCGACTTTCTTCTGCCCCACCCCACCACGGAGAGCAGTGTTAACGTGGGGTCCCGCCGTGTGCCAGGTACCACGCCTTAGCTTGCCATGAGACTTCTTTGAGGTGACTTCATTTTACCAGCAGGGGCCAGCAGGGAGTATCAGCCTCTGTCTGCCTACATGGGCCCCGCATCGCCTTGCTTTCATGATAGTACAGAAAAGTCTACAGGAGCTAGGAAAGGCGAGCAGGCCGGGGTCCTCAGAGTCAGAGGGTCAATTGACTTGCTTGAAAAATACGTAGATGATGAATGGCAGACTTGACATTTAACCCCCATCTTTATACCCAAAAGTTCAACAACTTCCCACTTCTCTATACTTATTAAGCACATTTGAATGTACATCTGTGTATGTGTATGCGTATATGCATACATATGCATGTATGCAAATTCCCTTGATCTGTTTGGGGAGGGCATTACTTGGAATTGGACCTACCTCACCTATGTTGAGCAGGGGCTCCACCACTGAGCCACACCCCAGCCCCTCACTGGGGGATTCTAGGCAGGGGCTCTACCACTGAGCCATGCCCCTGTTCTCTTTTACTTTTAAAAGATCTCTCTAACTTGTCCAGGCTGGTCTTGAACACACTCTATAGACCAGGCAGTCCTTGAATTCCAGACCCTCCTGCCTCGTCCTCCCCAGTAACTGGGATTACAAGTCTTGCTTTTAGAATATCTTCTTGTGTTACTTTTGTCTGGTTTCCCACTTGCCATCAGTACGGCTCTGATTCCAGACGGAAGGAGAGAGGGAAGCAAATGGCAGAGGAGGGGAGGGAGATCCCCGCCGCCATCTTGGGTTTTTGGTAGTCAGCAGTTTGTACGAACAGCTTATGAAAAAAAATACGTGTTTTTGTCTCTTGGCACTCCATCCCACTCTCCAGCATCCTTTCTGGAAGCCACCAAGGCTGTCCCTTGACTCACCTGGTAGTCATGGGAGCCCCCAAGGAGACGGCTGTTTTCTCTACTTTCCTAGGGAGACATAAAAAGCAGAAGTCAGCGGGGAGGAGAAGGCAGGACAGAGGGGAAAAGGGATAGATAAGAGAGTGTGGAATCGCTTCCCACCAGGTCTTACGTCACCTGTGACTGCTCACTTACGCTCATGAATGCACCACCATCTGTTAATTAATATGCATTTCTCCAGAACCCAGCGCGAAGCGCTGTTGCCACTAAGCCATCAGAATCCTCCCCTGGCCAGGCTGCCGCGCTAAAGCGACGCAGACTAGAAACTCCAGGTGAGCTGGTCTCTGCACTGGGCGGGAAGGGAGTGTCAGCTAGTGGGTCCCTGGTGGCACAGGGCATGCTGCCTGGCCAGCTCCTGAATCCGTCTCATTCCCAGAGCCACCAGCAGGCCTGGCCAGGATGTGGGGACACTTGCCCTGTTGAAGACTAGTGACTACTGTATTCTGCAAGTTGAGTGTCTACTCTCCAGCCTGCTATCCCCCCCCCCATGCCCTGGTATCCCTTCCTCCCCCCGAACCTCAAGAACCTCCCTGTTCCCTATTCAAGTACAACACAAAAAAAAAAAAAAAAGATAGAGACCAAAAAACGTTGAGGCGCTATGTTCTTTTTCTCCTTTTTGAGGGTTTTGTTTTGTTTTGTTTTTCAAGACAGGGTTTCTCTGTGTGGCTTTGGTTGTCCTGGAACTCACTCTGTAGACCAGGCTGGCCTGGAACTCAGAGACCTGCCTGTGTCTGCCTTCCAAGTGCTGGGTCTAAAGACATGTGCCATGAAGCCCAGCTGACTCCCTGTGTTCCTAAAGCTGATTTACAGATAATAAATAAACAAACAAACAAACAAACAAATAAATACACTACAAGAATTAACAAGGTGAAAGACTTGCTCTTTAAACCGAAGCACCCATAACAGTGAGCACCTTAATTGCCAGTTTGTCAGAGAGCTGCTGCCTCTGCTCTGCGGCCCCCCTCTCCTCTGACTTCTCCCAGTCTTGTCTTGTTCCTAGCCCAGTGACCCCTGCTGTGCCACCAGGGCCCAGCCCAGCAGCCTCAGCACCTCCAGGGATCTGGTGAGAAACTCCGAATTCCAGCCCCACCCCAGATGTGCAGGCTCAACCTGCACTTTGCACAAGACCTCTAGGTGTGGACAGGAGTGGCCCACTTACTCAGCCCTCGTCACTGTGGGTGCTGACCCTGGCACCCAGATTTCCAGAGCAGCTGGGAAGGTGTGTGCGTGCGCCACTCCTCGGCTAGCCCTCCCTGGATCCTGGGCGCTGGCCAAGGACGGGGCATTTGAAATGACTGTCTCTAAAATGGGTTGATGAAATACTGACGGCGGGCACAGCAGTGCCTACCTATAACTCTGGCTCTCAAGCCTCGAGTGTGGGCTAGCCTGGGCTACGGTGAAAGCCTACCTCAGAAATAAATAAGACCGGACTGGTTTACACATGGAATCCTCACGACCTCATCTGGGTATAGAGCAAAGCATAGTGCAAATGAGTTTGCCTCCAAGTTCAAGGCCTGTTAGGGCTCTGTAAGGAGTTGGAGGCTAGCCCGAGGTACTTAGCGAGACCCTGTCTCAAGATAAACTCTAAAGAAAAGCTGGGCTTGGCGACCTGTGCCTGTAATCCCAGCACTTCTGAGGCTGAGCAGTGCTGTGGCTTTTCAGAATAGCCTAGACTGACCCTGTTGGTGACACGTTGTCTAAAGAAAGGGATGAAGGAAGAGTTAAGTTCCAGGATAGAAAGAACATTTGCCTCTAATCCAGCATTGAGGAGCTGGGGTGGGGGAGGGGAAGAGTTGAGGGGGGTGACATGGCTGCTCAGTGGCAGAGCACTTGCCTAGAGGCCCCCAGTGAGGGGCTGGGGTGTGGCTCGGTTGCCTAGCTCGTACACACTCTCGAAAGCGCACACACACAAGAGCAGCAGGAATGAAGGAATGCCATCCTGCTGTCCACTGTAACTTTGGAGACTTGGGATTTTAGGGGTCTCTGGTCCTTCCTAGTCAAGTTTGGGTTCCCTCCCAGGGTTAGGTGGGGGTGGGCATGAGTAAGGAGGTCCAGCAGGCAGGGCTCCTGGGGCCACAGCACGGGCACAGCGATGCCAGGCTGCCCCTGTGTCTGTGAGTGTGTCTCTCACCTGACTCCCAGATCCTCCGGCCACTCGGACATCATTCCCTGGGTTGTTACACTGTGGGGGAAAGATTTTTTTTTTTCTCCTCAGTCTGCTGCTCTGCACTCCTGGCCCCTTATGAAAGCGCTGTAATCATCTCCTCTTGGGAGAGAGGGGAGAGAGCAGTGCCTTCATCTTCAGCCCCATCCCTGACCACTCTGCCAGCATCTGTGTGCACACACAGTCCCTGGCCACTCACCTCAGGTCTGTCGATACCGCCACTTCCGCTGCTACTTCCTCCGCTACTTCCTCCTCTGCCACCGCTGCCACCGCCGCTGTTTCCTCTGTCGCTGCTGCCGCCGCTGCTGCTTCCTTCTCTGTCTCCGCCACTGCCACTTCCCTGCAAGAAAAGAATCCAGGTAATGTCTCTAAAGCATATGCAAAGGGCCCAGGAGCTCCTAGCCTCCGTTCTTTCCCCATCTTTGGCCAACAGGTTGCTAGAGACAACTTTAGTAAACTTTAGTTAAAAAAAAAAAAAAGGCCAGGTATGGCCCAGGGTTTGGAAATATACAGTGGGGAGTCTGGGCTGTTGGCTCTCTCTCTCTCTCTTACACACACACACACACCCCTATAAAAAGCTGCCACTGGGGCTGAAGAAATAGCTCAGAGTTTAAGAGCACACACTCTTCCAGAGGACCTGTGTTAAGCTGTCAGGACTTATGTTAGGATGCTCAAAACAGCCTGTAGGTCCAGTCTCAGGGGACCCACCCGTCCGGCCTCCAAGGGACCCTGCACTCATTAGGACATACCTATATGAACATATACACCCCATTTTAAAAAATTAAATAAGCTGCCACTCGGGAACAGGCTGGGCTTGCTCCATCCCAGCCCTTCTTTGCACACCCTCTCTTACAAAAAAAAAAAAAAAAAAAAAAGGAAGAGGAGACCCTGGGTCCTTACCCTGGAGACTGAATAGCCTTCGTCAAAATTAGCCGTTTCTCTGTCCTGAATGGGGAGAGAGGGTCGTCTCAGCCTCGGGCACATAAAGCCGCCTGCAATTAGCTTTATCTAGTTGGTGTTTTGTTTTGTTTTTGAGACAGGTTCTCATGTAACCCAGTATAACCTTGGACACATCACATAGCCATGGCTGACCTAGACTCCACCCCCAGGGAACTAGGATTCCCGGAGCACTTTCTACCAATGGGCGGAAGAGCCCTTGGACACCCTCTCTCGGAGCTCCTCTCTAAGATGACCCCTCCTGGCTCCCCCATGCACCACGTTATCCACGCTGCAGCTATCCTTAAGTCTCCAAGGGGGGCGACCCTCCCCTGTTCTCCTGGAAGCATCCAGAACAAGCAGGGGGTTTCTGGTTTGCTTTGTGATAGAGCTATGTAGCCCTGGCTGGCCTCAAACTCAGCAATCCTCCGGCCTCAGCTTTCCAGGCGCTGGAGAGTACAGTATTTCCTCCGTGTCCTCTTCCCTCCCCTCACCCTCAGCTCTGCTCAGCAAGCAGTAAAGGTTGGACCCGAGCAGGGACTTTCTCACCATGGCAGGGAGCACAGGAAGGGACGCAGGCAGTGCCCCTGTATGAGGAGCCCCGTAATCAGGGCTGGGAGGGTGGGGGCTGGAGGCTGGAGGAGTCCCGGGAGACCACCGTCACAGAAGCCATCCACTCTAGGGCTGTGACAGCATTAAGGGAAACCTCAGAGCCTTGGTCCCCGGCACCCCAATAAAGAAACTTACCCGGGACCCAGAACTGCTGCTGCCACTGTGGCCTTGGCCGCTGCTGCTGCTCCCGTGGCCGCTACTGCCCTGGCCATGACTACCGCCACCGCTGCTGCCACCGTGGTCACCGCCGCTGCCGTCTCCCTGAGGCAGGGAGAACAGAGCAATGACTAAGCATAGGGCCCCACCACCGTCTTCCTCGGCCCCTTACAGGGTCCTGTTAGCCTCAGCAGGCCCCTAGAAAGCAGTGTATCCCCGCCTTCCCAGAGCTGAACCACAGGCCACGCCCCCTCTTACCCCAGAGCTGCTGGAGCTTTCGCGGGAGCCAGATGGTGGCGGGTTGGTACACTGTGGATGGAAGGGGGACCCCACGAGGGCAGAGAGGTCAATGCCACCTCTGTAGATCAGGCTTCTCTGTTGCTTGTCTCTTGGCTTCCTCGCCCCTCCCCATTTCCCTCCCTCTTCCCCTGGCCCTCGACCTTCATCCCTTCCCACCGCCTCTTCTGTTCCTCCTCATCCCTTCTCTGTTCTGTCCCATGCACCCAGACACCCCTCTATCTTACCCCTGAGTCTGGGTTGCTGCCTCTCACTGAGCCGTAGCCAGGCTGAGCCACAGCGCCCTGCAGGGAGGGTGAAACTGAGTTTAGGATCCAGAAGATAAGGAGGGGTGGGGAGGACAGGGTTGGGACATGGGTCTGGGTGGTGACTTTACCTGGCCATTGGTTTCATAGCTGAATGACCCGCCATTGCCTCCTTGACCCGCAGAGCCACCCAGAGAGTTGGTTCCATAGTTGCCTTCTGAGGCCCAGGGAGTCCCCTGAGCACCAGGATTTCCCTGTCTTCCACCTTGAGAGCCAAACATGCCATGGCCTCCAGATGTCCCCTGCAAGGACAATACTCCCATCCTTAATGGGCCTATCCCTGACATTCATGAGAGAGGGAACCAGCACCATCAGAGAGAGGAGGAGGGGAAGGAGAAGGGGGAGGGAGAGGGAGGCCACTCAGTAGAGAGAAAACTCAGGGCAACGAAAGAAAATGTTCCAGACAGCCGCCCAGGAACCATCCGTTCACACTTTGACCCTCGACGCAGCCATCCCCAGCTGCGCTCTGCACACCCAGCTTCCCAGCCACTCACCCAAGAGCCAGAGTTGTGGGCAGCATCTATCCCTCGTCGAATGACATCCTCAGCCTGCCTGCCAACCTCATTTCCAGCGTTCCCCAGAGACCGTGCCGCTTCCCCGAGCCTGTGGTCGAAAGCATCTCCCCTGGCCCCCCTCAAAGCAAAGCCACCTTCCTCTCCGTGCCCCTGACCGAGGGCATCCTGGATTCCTGAGCTGGCTGCCTCTTTAGCCCCTTGGCCTACAGCCTCTCCAACTCCGTGGCTAATGGCATCTCCCACTCCTTGTAAGGCACCTGCCCCTTTGCCCTCTGCTCCACTCTGCAGTGGGCTGGCTGCCCCGCTACCCAGACTTAGGGCCAGCAGGAGACAGGCCAGGGAGCCCTGTAGCTTCATCTCTGCCCAGCTCCCTCTCTCCCCTGAGGATCGTTTCCTTCTCTCTTCTTCTGGGCTATGGGACCTCCTGCCTTTCTTCCTCTGTTTCCTTAGTCTGCCTCCCTCAGGACCCACAGCCTTCCCTCTCCGTTCCCAGACTCCCCTGCTTTCCAGAGCCTTCCTTCTTGCCACTACCCCTTATACTGTAGGTTGGGAGAAGGTAAGAGGGCTGGGCAGCCTAAAGCCCCTCCTCCAGTGACTCAGGGCCTGGCCACCACCGATAGGGTAATGAATCTTAATTGTGAATGAGAGCCTGTGTTGAAACAGAGAGAGAGAGAGAGAGAGAGAGAGAGAGAGAGAGAGCTGGCCGCCAGGAAGGGAGGGGAAAGAATAGGATGAGATGGATGCAAAAGTGTTCCAGTTGCCTAACCGCAGGAATTTGGGGCGCAGGGTGGGGACAGGAGCATCCGAGGAGATAGGTGTTGATAGGTCTGGAGGCGGCAGGGTGGGGGTACTTAGGAAACAGGGGTCACAAGCAGGTGAGACCCCCAAGGGTATAAGGAGAGAAAAGCCATCCCAGCTAAACCAGCATGCTAGGGCCGTGAAGACAGGGAGAGGTGACCTTTCCCTGCTCCCCAGGCTTCCCTGCAGGTGCCCCTCCTTGCATGCTTCCACAGCCCAGGAGACACTGAGAACTCTGGGGCTGCCATTAAGTTCCGTTCCGAGGGCCTGGGGACCCCCATGTTGAAGGAATGACACACTTCTGTGAGTGGCCCTGGAGGAAGGGTTTGGGCAGCTGTCACAGAGCGCTCAGGGGCCCTGGGCGAGGAGCCCGGGAACTGGGCGGGCCAGCCACCCGCAGGGGAAGAGTAGGCGGGAAAGACCAAGGAAGGGAGAAGCTGACCCAGACGCCCATCCTGTTTACCTGCGCCACAGAGGGGTATGAGTGTGTGTGTAAGAGCTCACAGCCACTGTGCTGCTTGCTCACCACCCGCAGCCTTCCCCAGGGGCCAGGGCAGCCCTGGCAAGGAAGGAGGGATCGGCCCAAGACCATCCCCTGCACTCGCGGCCTTCACCCCCGGCCACGGCTCCAGTGGGGGAACCCAGGCATCCTCCCCAGTCTCATCCCTGCCCGACAAGTGTGACTGCTTCTCGGGTTCCCAGGGGCCCCGGGTCCTCCCACTTGGAACCATCCTGTATCACTGGTTAGGAGGGGCCAGTTTCCATCCGCCTTTCTCAATGTCTGTCAGTCAGTCTCTCCCCACCCCGGCATCTGCGCCCCGGCTTGTAACAGTCAAGACTTCTGTGTATATCAACACCATCCCTGGCTGTCCCTCTCTCCCACCTCCGTGCTGCTCCATTGCTGCTGTTTTAATAATAATCATTAATACTAATAACCATCATCCCACTCCTACTAATAACAATCCCAGCTTGTTTGTCAAAGGCCTCCTATGTGCCCAGATTTCTGTGCTGGCTTCCACATGGTCAGAATCATCTAACCCTGAAAGATGGCTCTTTTTATTACCCTCAGAGAACACAGAGGGCCTATAGTTGAACCAGGAGCCAAGTCCAGACCTGCCTCTGACAGAGCCCAAGCTGCTAAGCCCCGTCTGTCACTTCAGCGTGTCACACCAACCCTTGCTTGTCTAGGTAGAACTAATCTTGGTTTTTTTTTCCTTGGGAGCTATGTAGGAGGAAGGGGTGCAGGAGGAAATCTGGGCCCCCAGAATGAGTGCCAGAGGGTCATCTGACCCCACTCAGAGGTTGGATGGAGGAGGAGCTCAGGACAGAACACTCGCTTCATGGTTCCCCTGGCCAGGCCTCACCTGCCTGGTCCATCAATGCTCACTTTCTGTATGCCAGCTTACTTTCTTACTTCAGACTGTTACAAGAGCCTAACGTTTGCTGGCAAACGTCCCCGCGCTGAAAAGTTGAGTCAGGAGAATCACTAGTTCAAGGCCAGCCGAGGCTACACAGCAAGACCCTATTGCAAACATACACCAATAACAAAGGATATTCTAAGAAAATATTTTGGGGGGTTGGCAAGGTGGCTCAGCAGGGGAAGGCGTTCGTCGCCAAGGCTGACCACCTGATGTCACATGGGGGTTAGAAAGTTGTCTTCTGCCTTCCACAGTGGTGCGTGCACACCCAGAGATACAAAATAATAATAATAAATAAAAGAAACGAAGATCATCTGTCCTAGGTAAAAATTACCAGGACAATACAGATAAAAGCAAACAATAGCATTGTTTTGTAGCTGGCTGCAGTTCCTGGGTCTTCTTTGTTATAAAGGAAAGTTAGCTGGGGAGGTGATCAGTAGGTAAGAGTGCTGTTCCTCCAGAGGACCTCAGTACGGTCCCCGCGCCCACATCCGGCAGCTCACAACTGCCTTTAACTCCAGCTCCGGGGGAACCAGTGCCCTCCTCTGGACTCTGTGGTGCCAGCATGCTTTGGTTACAGAACATTAAGAAATCAGGCTCAAACTGATCAGGGAACTCTCTCCCTGCTGCGTGCCTGTCCTCGTGTTGGAAGCTGCTGCTCGGACTGCTGGAAGAGAAAATGGCTGGCCCAGTGTTGGGGCCTGCATGATGTCGCACCACACTGCCAGGAGAGTTACACCCACTTAGGTGATGGTGGCACGACGGTTAGGAGAGTAACCAGTCCCTGGTTGGGTCCGAGGTCTGCTTCACGGGAGGGAGGTCATGTATGATGCTGTAAACCTGGTCAAGAGCTCGAGAAACCGCAGGCCCTAGAGGGAGACTTACTGGTGCTGATTCACTGAGCAGACTACTTAGGCTTTATGTTTATCCTCATGGATTCATGACACTCTCAACCTTGGTAGGAGAAGTTCCTTTCTGCAGTGGGTAGGGGTTAATACAGACTCGTCGCCGGTCAACGAGCTGGGAATAAGTGACCGAGGGGGCTCAGCCGGGGATGGACCGTCTGTATCAACTTCCCACAGTCTGAGGCTCAGGAAACACCGCAGGAGAATGGGTGCAAAGACTCTAACAGCTGGAGGGTGGGAGTCAGGGGAGCTGTGAGGTGCTGGCTGCTGGACATGACGTGATTGTTGGACACGTGGACTCGCAGCCGCTGTGGTTTGCCTGCGTAAGATCTGCACAGCACAAAGGGAGTCAAAACTCCAGCATGAATGGGAAAGGACTCCCGAGACCACGCCCCTAGCTGAGGAGCTCTTGGCAGCTATTGGCTTCCAAAGGAGAGTGCGCTTTCCTTTGGCCTTCATCCCTCACCCCACCATCTCTCCCCTCCCCCTCTCTCTACTCTGTCCCTGCTTCTCTCACAGAGATCTCATCTGGACTCTTCCAAGACCTCCGGCTGTTCTATCTATCTATCTATCTATCTATCTATCTATCTATCTATCTCTCCTACAATCAAAACTTTCCCCCTTAACCATACCACGGAGCAATCATGTCATCAGTTCATACAGTACATACATGTATGAAAATTTCAAAGTATTTTTGATAATTTAATGAGCCAGGCATGCTGGTGCATGCCTGTGGCCCCATCACTCAGGCCACTGAGGCAGAAGGATCCCAAGTTCAAGACCAGCCTGTGCAACCCCCATCTCAAAAGGTGAGGGTGGCTGGAAAGATGGCTCCCCAACACCCACACAGCAGCTCACAGCCCTCTGTAACTCCAGTTCTGTTGGATCTGACGCCCCATGCTGGCCCCCAAGGACATTGCATGCACACGGGGCGCAGACAAACGCCTGTACACATAAATTTAAAGAAAGAAATAAAGATTTTTAAAAGTCTTAGTTGGGTTGGGAGGGTGGCTCAGTGGATAAAGCACTTGCCATGCAAGCACGAACACATGTGTTCGGATCCCAGGAATGCCCGGAAGCTCTTGTGCCAGCCAGCTTAGAGGACACATCTGCAAACTAAGAAATTGTCTCAGGCAGGGCGGAAGGCGGGCACCCACACCTGAGACTCTGCATGTTAATAACACACACACGTGTGTGTGAACATACATGCATACACACATACATATCACACATAAACAAATAAATAAAGTCATATGTTATCGTTTTACGTGTATGAGTATTTTGCCTGTGTACCGTGTGCTGGCCAGAAGAGGGAGTCAAATCTCCTTGGAACTTACTTGCAGATAGTTGTGAGCCACTGTGTGGGTGCTGGGAACTGAACCTCCTAACCCGTGAGCCGTCTCTCCGGCCTAACAAACTTTTTCTTTTTGATCATGGGTTAATGGGTCATCAAAGTTAAGTGTGGTCGGATCTGACTTGTCCTGCAGCAGCAGCCTGCAGCCTTGTTCTTGCACTTAGCCTCCCGACTGCGTCTCTGCTTTAGACTCTGTCTCCCCTTTACTACTTCACGGACCGAAACCTGTCAAGCGGCGTCAGACACGTAAAGAAAGCTGCCTTGGGGGAGGGGCTACAAGGCTGGTTTTCAGCACTGACTGTATTCAAGGAGACTTCTTTTGGATTAGCTGGTAGGCTGATGCCTACAGGACGAAAAGAAACCATGACAGCATGCAGGGTCTTCAAGCAGACGGACAGCAGGGTCTGTCTGTCCTCCCTGGGGCAGGAGCCTGCTTACTCTTCTGAAGGAGCACTGTGGCTTGAGCAGGCAGAGAATGGGGAAGGTGATGTTAGAAAGGGCAAAAGACTGTAGGGATTGGGGGATTGTTGTGAGGGCTTTGGCTCTGGGGGCAGCTGCTGACTGAGCTGCTTTAGGGAGCCCTCTGGGGTGGGGAGTGCCCAGAGACCACAGGGGAGGCCTGAGGGCAAAGGGGGAGGCTGGCAGACCATCCCCCACTCCATACTGTGGGTTCCTGGTCTCAGCTCGGGACTGCCACATCCTGTTCCTGTCCCGGAGCCCTCCGGATCCTTCTCTTCTGTAAAGACAGGTGTGAGCCTAGGCTGTGGCCAACACAGGAAGGGCTTAGACGGTGCGTCACCGCGGGCCCAGAGGTCTCCTGCTAGCGGCAGGATTGCTGACATGCTGGGGTGTTTCCTTGGTCATCGTTACTGTTCTTGATAA